AGTGAATAGGATGAAATGGGAGCCTATAGAATAGAACATAAGAACACAAATAGAATGGATAATAAAATTAAATCAAATTAGGGTCCTTCTGAGCTAGGGTGTTAAAGAAATATTCTGGTGGGGAGAGGCTTCCTTCCCAGCTCTCCAAAGGAACCAACCAATTTATTATTTATGGTTTATATTGTGGCGAACTATGAATTTTATAGTTATATATATTATATATTTATGTTTTTTTATATATATATATATATATATAAAAAATATAGTTAGTACAAGCAACAACCCCGCATGGCTTCGCTGACTATCTGGCTGAATGCTACAATTTATGTGGCACCTTCTTCTGCCAGCATTCCTGTCTGGTGGCAGGGTGCTGACACAATCACTGTTTTATCCATTTCTTTGTTATAGGCTCAGAACCTGGGGAGGCCTAACGTGTTTCTCTGGGGTGCAGCCTTGCTACCGCCGTTGGCAAGCCCTCTCATGGTCTTTGTGGGCAGGACATACTCGGGTTTCCTTCCTGCTCGCCGTTGTAAAAACCTGGCTGCCTGCAGGTGCATCTGTAGCAGGCTGGTGAATACTGGCAGCATGGGGTGTTGTAAATGGTCTTTCTGCAGACTTCGTGCTAAAGCCCTGTTGCTGAGGAATTGCTGTGGCCGATTTCCTGGAGATAACACCTAATCCTGGCTATGTGCCTTATGAGGTAGGGTAGGGATTATTGAGTTACTTATTTGCAAACTCTTGTGAACTCTTGGGAGATGGGCAGTTACTGTTGAGTGTCATCTTAAAGGGCCATTCAGAACATTCTTGAGGTAGTGTGGTAGTGAGCTAGGACTACATAACAAAGTACCACAAAACGTGGCTTAGTATAAGCAAGAAGTAGTGAGCTAGGACTACATAACAAAGTACCACAAAACGTGGCTTAGTACAAGCAAGAGAAATGTATTGTCTCACAGTACTGGAGGTTGGAAGTCTGACATCAAGGTGTGGCCAGAGTTGGTTCCTTTGGAGAGCTGGGAAGGAAGGAGCTGTTCCAGGCCTCTCTCTTTGGCTTGTAGATGGCCATTTTCTCTGTGTGTCTCATACCATCTTCCTTCTGTGTGTGTCGTTTATGTGTCCAAATTTCTCCTTTTTCTAAGGAGACTGGTTATATTGGATTAAGGCTCACCCTGATGACCTCGCTTTAACTTGATTACCTCTGTAAAGACCTGATTCTAAATGAAGTCACATTCTGAGGTATTGGGGGTTAGGACTTAAAAAATATGAACTTTGGAGGACATGTTTCAACTCATAACAGGTAGCAGCACAGTGTAGGATTATGTGGGAATCGTTAAAAGCTACTTGTGAACGTTAGATTTTCAGCTACTAGGAAGGTTAGCGTTCTAGATGTTTTCACACATTTGCAGTCATTCTTTCTGACAGATGCGAGAGCACATTCTCAGTTTGGTGCCATAGACTGGGTCCGGTACAGTCAGCTTATTTGCTTGCTAACTTGTAGGAAGAAAGTTTGGCAAACAGTTTAAAAAGAGGGAAAATTTTGTCTCTAGAATTACGTACAAATTGATTTTTTTCCCCTTAAGAGTTTATTGCCTGAAGGTTTGCCTTGTAGCTATTTTTTCACTTGTTTTCAAGTTTGTTTTAATAATTGTATAAAAAGAAATACCTGAAAACTAAATTTTTTTTTGTTCTAGACTTAAAAGAAATTGTGTTCGTCATCCAGAGTCAAAGTAATTCTTTTCATGCAAAGAGAGCAGAACAGTTAAAAAAAAGCATCTTAAAGCAGGCTGCAGACCTTACACAGGTACGTAGCAATGGCTGGAGGGCTGCCAGTTACAGATTTCTTGATTACCTTGATGTTTTCCAAAACACTGGATCTGTGGAGAATCGGTTTTTATTTAGACGAGAATAACTCCTCTGGCTCATTTTGCTTACTTAATATTGAGTATTTGTTGTTGAAAATATTTTGGTCAGTTGGGCGTGGTGGCTCACGCCTGTAATCCCAGCACTGTGGGAGGCCAAGGTGGGTGGATCCCTTGACGTCAGGCGTTCAAGACCAGCCTGGCCAACATGGCGAAACCCCGTCTCTACTAAAAATACGAAAATTAGCAAGGCACGGTGACACATGTCTGTAATCCCAGCTACTCGGGAGGCTGAGGCAGAAGAATCGCTTGAATCCAGGAGGCAGAGGTTGCAGTGAGCCAAGATACAACACTGCACTCCAGCCTGGGTGACAGAGTGGTACTCTGTCTCAAAAAAAAGAAAGAAAATGTTTTGGTTAATTCCTAATGCACAAATTATCATATTCTGAATTATTGTGTGTGTGTGTGTGTGTGTGTGTGTATATAAATATATATATATAAATTTAAGAGAACTATATAATTGTGTGGGGCAACTGTGGATTTGTCACGAAGTATGATAAAAGCAAGTAGAAGAAATAACTTTTTAAAGGCAAGGCTTAAAATAGAGATAATTAACGTTCAAAATTTTGGTAACAAATTCTAAGGCAATTTTCATGTTGGAATAATATTTTCATTAATCTTAGTGCAGTGCTTCCTCTATGAGTCTCTTAATCTGCTTTTTTAATTGGATGTCATTAATTTAACTTTTGATTTGATTTATAATGTAATATTCCAGAAGGATTATGGAGAGAAAAATCTACTCATGTAGGTACATTTTAATAACATTTAAAATAGGCATGAACAGAATATAAAGCTGCTCTGAATAATGCTGGAGGTTTGGAGTGAGGGCGGATCTACCTTATGCTGCCCTATAGGTGCTTTCCTTCTTCAGCTAAGTAAGTCCATCAAGACCTCTGCACTATGTTGTGATGGCCTTCAAGACCGAAGTGCTTGCCTGTAGTTAAATGCTATCCCTTGGTTCTCCCAGGAAAGAACTCTTTGACAGGAGACATATGTGGCTGACAGATTGCTTTCTTTCTCTTCATGGGTACTGGAAAGTAAAGGGTCGGAAATGTCAGTGGAAACATAAACAGCCTTAACAGTATTCAAGGCAAGGAACTGCTGGGAATAGGGTTTATTATGCTTAATCTCTAAATGCTTTATATATAAATGTATCGAACTGTCCTGTGTCCCGGCAAGGCCAGGTTCTCTGGGCTGCTGTGCTTGAAACATCATGCTTTCTCAAAGGAGAGGAAAGTAATACATGCTATAGATAGATTGTTTTTCAGTAGTCAGAGATAGGAGCAGCTTGATAAGTTAAAAAGTTTTCTTTTTTGGCTGGGCGCAGTGGCTCATGCCTATAATCCCAGCACTTTGGGAGGCCGAGGTGGGTGGATCATGAGGTCGAGAGATTGAGACCATCCTGGCCAACATGGTGAAACCCTGTCTCTACTAGAAATATAAAAATTAGCTAGGTGTGGTGGTGTGCGCCTGTAGTCCCAGCTGCTCAGGAGACTGAGGCAGGAGAATCACTTGAACCCAGGAAACAGAGGTTGCAGTGAACTAAGATAGCACCACTGCACCTCCAGCCTGGTGACAGAGCAAAATTCTGTCTCAAAAAAAAAAAAAAAATTTTTTTTTTTCTTTTTTTTGGTAACCTAACTTTTGGAGGTTTTCTCCTACTAAACCTTCATGGATTGTATTAGAGAAGCAGACATGCAGCAACCTTGACTAGCTGGCCTCTTCTGTCTGCTCTGCTGGAGGCACTAGTGGGGTAGCCAAGTGCAGGCCGCTGCAGGGGGGAGGAGGAGCCAGAAGCTCAGCTAATCCATCCCTCAGGTGGGTCCAGGGAAGCTCTAACTGGATTTTGCTCAGTCAGACCTTGGCAATTACCCCAAACTGTGTGATCAGTGATGACATCAGAACCACAGTTAGGCATCCCTTGTTCATATGAATTAAGAGCACACTTTTCCCTACGTCGCCTGCATATGCTGCTGCTCCCAGCAGTACCTTTCGTTTTGCAGATACAGATTTGTGTTTTTTAGATTATGTATCTTCCCCAGTAGTCCTTGACATTGATATGGATAGCGATGCCCCTTGCCATCTAAGCCTAGTTGATTGCATATGCCCCTATACTTCCTCTACTGTTCATCTACTCTTATTTTTGGCCAATTTTATTTCTGTGCAAATGGACATTCATTGCTGGCTTTCTACCTGTCTTTCCGCTTCTGTTCTTCTGGGAAGAGTAGTTTTCAGAGCACCTTCGAGCAGGGCAGTGTTCCTGGGACTTGGTTTACAGTGGGGATAAGGCATGTGGGTATGTTTTGGTGGGAAGCAATAGAAATGATAAAGTATTCCTCCTTCTCCTCTTCCCCTTAGGAAAAATGAGAGCTGGCAGGATGCTGCTGGGGGCCGGATATGCCTGCTTCTTTGAGAGGCTCTGGGGCTCTGCAAAGGATAGGGCCCAGGTACAAGAGCACCGAATGCTTAAAACTGACTCTAGGCTCTGGGGAGGATGGTTAGAGGTTCCTGTGTAAGCTGAACTTGGCAGTTGTATATAGGAATGGAGAATGTGTGTTATAGTTCTCTTTGGTGTCTGTCAGGGTTGAGGCAAGACGGTAGGCAGCTGAGCAGGTGTGGATCCAGCAGAGCAGAAGGAACCTCCATTGCTTGTTACCTTGTGCCAAGATAGTTGCACCAGAGCTTGTTAACTGAAGTCCCTATCTCTGGATCCCAGCTTCATCTTCTACCGCTCACCCCCTGGCACTTTATTTGCCGGTAACTTCAAACTTGATATGGTTCTAGGATCACTTGCCATATTAGTGCATCCTTGCATTGCTATAAAGAAATACTTGAGACTGGGCCATTTATAAAGAAAAGAGGTTCAATTGGCTCATGGTTCCATAGGCTGTACAGGAAACATGACAGCTTCTGGGGAGGCCTCAGGAAACTTTCAATCATGGCACAAGGTGAAGGGGAAGCAGGCACATCTTATGTGGCTGGAGCAGGAGGGAGAGAGAGGAGAGGTGCTACACACTTTTAAGCAACCACATCTCTCAATAACTCACTCTCCTCATGACAACACCAAGGGGGATGATGTTAAACCATGAGAAACTGCCCCCATGATCCGGTCACCTCCCTCCAGGCCCTGCTTCCAACACTGGGGATTACAATTCCACATGAGATTTGGGTGGGGACACAGATTCAGACCCCATCACCTGCTATGCCCCTGTGGCTTTGTATATTGTAGATCCCGTCTTCTTGTCAAGCCTATGTATCCCCATAAAGGTATTCTGTGCACCATCTTGACCCACCGTGCTAAGCTACTTCCTTTTTGGTTCCACTTTTGTATCTTGGACAAAATTCTGTTGTATACTTTTTACCTGTCTCTTTTACAGATTTTGAGAGCAGAGAATAGACTATGTCTTCTGAGTTGATTCTTCAGAACCAAGCATTGAATCCTTGAAATTCATGATCTTTTCTTTCCCAGAGTTACTTTCTTCTCTACTGTAATAGAAGTTTCCTTACATTTCTCCTACATACAGTATGGACCTTCACCCGTACGTACACAAGCATGCACACACATGCTGTATTAAATCATAAGTTCTTTGAAGGCAAACACTTCTTTGGATCCTTCCATAACACCTTGAACATAGTAGGTATTCAGCATATGGCAACTGAATTGACTCTAAGAAATTTATCAAATGAAAATGAAAATTTAAGTAACTTATGTATTTTATTCCTATTAACTCTTAAATGAATAATGGCCAACCTCCCTCTTATTAAATATTAGTAGCTGTTTACTTCTCTCAGTGAAACCACAGAGTTTAGGAATAAGAGTAGAAAAAAAAATTAGGTATGAGCTGGTGCTAGAAAAATATGATCTTATGAATAATTAAATCTTTTGGAGATAATATGAAAAAGAACCAGAAGATACACTTGACTACTTTACCACAGACAACATAATAGTGACTTAAGGAAGATGGAAATCCTTCAGTATTGAAACAAAATTGAAAAAAAAAGAAGATGGAAGATGTACTTCTCCCCACCCAACAGTCCAGTCGGTGGGGGCCTGGAGAGGCAGCTCTGCTCCGGGTTCCTCTGTCCTGTTACTTGGATGAAGTGTCTTGTCCTGCTTGGTTGAAGCTGACCTACATTCTGCATTACAGTGTGTGGAGGCCAAGCTGCTTCCTTTTAAGGATTTTGTACCTTGCAATTGTATATGTTGTGTCCCTTTATGTACCTATGTCCAGGGTATATCATGTGGGTTACACCTGGGCTGGGAAGTGTAATGTCTGGTTGGGTGGTCCTGGATTCAGCTAGAACTCAAGGGGTTCTAATCTTTAGAAGGGAAAGGGAGCATGGATACAGAGGGACAAATCAACGTCTCTGCCAAAGTCAGGATTTTGTTTCCATATCAAGGACTCACTTAGTCTGCGGAATTTATTTATTAACCTCTCATTCGTTCTTTTCCTATTTGAAGACATACTATGGGCAAAGTACTGGGAATACAAAGATCAACAAGACATAATCTTGGTACTTGAAGAATGCACAGTCCCAGAGAGG